ACCAGCGTGTGCCGCCAAACCAGAGTCAGTTTTTTGTTTTTTGTTTTTTTTCTTTTTTGGTACCGGGGATGAAACGCATGACCTTGTGCTTGCCAGGCAGGCGCTGTGCCGCTGAGCTACATCCCCCGTAGTCTTCATTTTTGTATTTGTCTCCTTTATGACCTTAAAACTTTGGGTCACATTCTTTTTTTTTTTTTCCTTGGGAGACAGGGTCTCATTGTGTAGCCCACATTGGCCTCCAACTGCAGCAGTCTTCCTGCCTCAGCCTCCTGAATACTGGAATTACAGCCGTGTCTCACTCAGGTGAAGATACGGCTCCGGAACCTAACAACCAGTCCCAAGATGCTTATCCCTCAGACCAAGCTAGATGGGCTCATCTGCTGTCTGGGTCTTGCAGCTTGTGTCTTTGATCCTCTTTTCCGTAAAACCCCAGAGCTGCCTGGCGTGGTGGCGCTTGCACTCGGGGGCTGAGGCAGGAGGATCGTGGTGAGTTCAAGGCCAGCCTAGGCTACATCGTGAGACCCTGTCTCAAAACAAAAAAACAAAAAAACACAGCTTGTGTCAGCCCCTCACAGACAGGCCTTGAAGTCTTAAATGTCTTTGTCCCTGTCAGAGTGGCTGGGCTGACTGAAGCTCCTTTCAGGGTGCTGTCTCCTTGATCGGCCTTTGAAGGCTACACCTGGTCCGTTGGGACCCCTGGCACTGGGAGTTTTTCCCCCCGAAACCTCCAGTCCTAAGACTACACAGGGAAATGACCAAGGAGTCAGCAGCCAGTGAACATCTGCCAGGGGCCAACTGTACTGAGGCCTCTCCAAGTATCGCCCCCCACCCCCCACCCCATTGCTCCCCACCTCCAGCACAGGAGCAGGCGCTTCTGCCGGGGCCGGAGACACTCAGCAGGTTGGCATGACAAAGGTCTGCTCCCCAATCGCAGGAGAACAGGGTGGGGGGGCACTTGAGACCCTCACTCTAAGTGAGTCAGACGCAGGTCAGCAATGACATGGTCTCTCTTATGTTCGAAACCCAAAGTGTAAATAATTTGCAGAGCAAAAGAAAAGACCAATGCCAGCAAGCAGGGAGGAAGGCAGGCGTTTGGAGATAGTAAGGGGATCTAGAAATGGAGGGGGAGGGGACAGAGAATTAGAAGGTCCTGGATTTGGAAGGTGGGTATACCAATGCCTCACCTTGACAGTACTTTTTTTTTTTTTTTTTTTTTGTCTGTATCTGCTCTAGAGTCACTAAGCATGGTTTTCATTGTGGACACCATCCCTGCATTTATCTGAGAAATTATTTCTGATTTGATTTTTTTCTAGAGTTTCATTCAATTACTTTGTTGTTACCACTTCAGAGAGGCCATACGGGTAGCTTTTGGATTGTCTCACTTCCTTGCCCTCTGGGTTTGCCTTTGGTGAA